CACACACACACACACACACACACACACACACACACACACACACACACACACACACACACACACGCACACCCACACGCACACCCACACGCATACACATACAAACACACCCCGTGGTGATCCGATTAATATATATTATAAATCCAAACTAATCAAACGGCTCGAACCTAACAAAAATCTGGGTGTGTGTGTACAGACTACAGCATCACGCATGAGTGAATACCCGTCCTCGCGCTAGATGGCGCCAGCGACGCTCTCACATGTGCAGAGCGCCGTGCGGCGGCATAAACCGGTACTCAGAGTGACTGTAGAGCGGTTGGTGAACCTCCGGTCTTGAAACAATCGTGGGAATCGAACGCGAATGCTGCGTGAAGTCGCTCTCCCAGGCTCTCGCCTTCTCGGTGTGTCTCGCGTGGTGGTGGTGGCCGTGGGGGCGGTGCGTGGCCGAGGGAGGACCCTGGTAAGGAGCGGGAGGCGCCGCGGTGGAAGAGGAACCCGATCTTCGATCTCCCGAGCGATCGCGGGGTCTCCGGTGATGATGATGATGTTGATGTTGATGATGATGATGACTGCGTTTGCTGCGGTGCTCTTGCTTCGGCCGACGCTCTTTTGATTTCGACGTTTTCGTCGTCTTCGTCGGCGGCGGCGGAGCAGCGACGTCGGTCGGCGGCGGCGTCGGTTCGTCGGCGGGGTGGCGCTGGCGTCGCGCGTACGCCTCTTCTCTCTCCTTCTGCAGGTAGTCGCGGTACATATGATGCAGCGACTTCAACGTCACCGACGCCTTTTTGATCTTGCGCACGAAGGCCGACGACTCCTTCTGCCGACCACCACCACCATCGGTCGTCGGCTGCGGTACCGCGCCCTCTATCGGCTGCGGCGCGCCTTCTACCGGCGGCGGCGGATTGCAGTATACCCGCGCGATTCCGTCGCCAGGTGGCGCGCGGTACGAACTCGGCTGCAGCAGCGCCGAGCGGCTGGTCTTCGTGTCGGCGGAGTTGTCGGACGACGCGCCGACCGTGTCTGCCGACGACATGTTGTAGCGACCGTAGCCGAGCGACGATGACGTCAGCGTCATGTCGGACGGCGGCGGCTTGGCGAGGGTCGCTGTCACGTGGTCGTTGATGGCTTCAGAGCTGGCGCGTAGAGGGGAGCCGTAGTCTGGGTGCTTGGTGATGGAGCTGTCCACGGACACGCACTGCAACACAGGGAGCATTTATATATATATATATATAATATATATATATATATTAATTATGTTAATCATGTTAATTTACCTTGTTGTAAACAAATAAATAACTAAATAATAATAAAACATAACTAACTAAAAAATATTTTCCCTATTCCCCCGATGTCCTGCTTATAAAATATCCTATCCTGTTCTCCTTTCTTCCCACTCTCCCTCCAACTCGCGCCTCTTCTCGTCTCTCTCTCCTCTCTCACTCTCTCTCTCTTTCTCTCTCTCGCTCGTGCTTCTCATCTCTCTCTCTGTGCCTGTCTCGTCTCTCTCGTCTCGTCTCTCATCCTCCTCTCGTCTCTCTCTCTCTCTCCATCTCTCTTTCCTCTGCCTCTGTTCTCAGTCTCGTCAGCTCTTCTCCTCTCTCTCTCTCTCTCTCTGCTCCAGCCAGCAGTAGCACAGCACAACAGCCCACGCGCACCAAAACACGGCAGCCAGCAGCAGCAGCATCAGCATGCAGCAGCAGGCCAAGCACAGCAACCACCTAACTTAACCGCAGCAATCAGCAAGCACCGAGCCACTCACCACCCTACCTAGCAGCAACAGCAGCAGCAGCAAGCAGCACCACCCACCAACCAACTTCCGACACCACACCCGCACCACACACCACCACCACCACACCAGCACCTGGCAGCGCAGCAGGCAGCTACATGCACCACCACACACCACCCCCCAGCCACCACCGACCCGTACCGATCAACCGCACCACCACCAGGGGCCCACCAAGCACCCACGCTCCACCGCACCACAGCCACCACTCAGCCACCACCTACAACCACCACCACCACCAACCCGCACACCCACCACCACACCCCACCACCATAGCCGACCACACTCACCACCACCACCACCACCCCACACACCCACCACCACCACCACCTACCACCACGCCGACCACCTCCCACCACCAGCAGCCCCACCGACCACCAGCCACAACACCACCTTCCACCACCAGCAGCACCACTCACTTTTGGGGGCGACCACCCCACCACCACCCCACACCCACCACCACCACCACCCCCCCACCACCACCACCACCGACCCACCCCCACCCACCACCAGACCACCACACACACCGACCACCACAACCACCAGCGTGGCGACCACCGCACCACCGATGGCACCTCCATTCCACCCAACCACATCACCCCCACCACCGACCTCCACCACCAGCACGCAGCCGACCACCACCACACCAACCACCACCACCGACCACACTTCCACCCCCCACCACCACGCACCGAACACCCCCACCACCACCACCATTTCTACCCGACCCACCACCCACCGCACCCACCACCACCAGCCCACCACTACAACTATCCCACCACCACCACCCACCACACTAACACCACCACACACCCCACCCCCGTCACCACCACCACCACCACCACAACCACTCTAGGCAGGGCTTCACCACCACCACTCACCCACCACCAACACCACCACCACCACTCACCACAGCACCACCACCAACCACGCACCACCACCTACCACCACCATACTACATGACTAACCACCACCTACCACCGACCGACCACCACCACTCACCACCAACCACCCACCACCCCAACCAGCACCACCAGCCAGCACCCACCATCCGACCTCCACCACAGAACACCAGCCACCACCACCACCACCGACCCACCACGCCACACCCCACCACCACCACCTACAATCCACCACCACCACCACCACGCACACCACACACTCACCCCACCTTACTACACCCACCTACCACTACAACTACCAACCACCGACGCACCGACCACCCCACACACCACCACCACCACCCCACCTACCCCACCCCCACCACAACCACCCACCATCACCGGACCACCACCACCGACCAGTCCTACCACCAGCAGGAGCAGCAGCACCACCACCGCACCACCACCATCAACCCATCACCACCAGCCACCATCACCACACCGCCAACCACCAACCAGCAGCAACGCAGCAACACTAATGAAGCAAGCGTACGTCATTAATCTATGTAGACTGGCCAGATTCGCTCGTGAGGCATCCGACCCCCCGCCTCCCCTTTCGCCATGATTCCCGATATGCATTATCCCGTTTTTGCACTTCTCTCGCGAAGCGGGGAAAGAGAAAGACAAATCAACGGATGTTAATTATATAATAAGGAGGCTGTTACTGGCTCTATGTGCTATCCATTATCCCCCGGGAGACAGATATCTTGGAAAGTCGATAGCCGACGATGACCGACGGTGTGGGGAGGGGAAGTCAGAAAGGGAAAGGGAAAGGAAGGGGAAGGGGATGGGGAAGGGAAGGTGAAATGGAGGAGGTGAAGGGAATATGAAGAGGGAAATAAAGGGGAAGAGAAGTAGGAAGGGAAAAGGGAAAAATGAAGGGAAAGGTTATATCCTCCTCTGCCGCGGTACGTACGGACGGCACGGGCGGTTATTCTTTCCGCTTTTGCTGATTACGTGATTTTCTAGCCTTCAGGAATATCGGTGCCCATCGAACGCGCCTTTCTGCTATTTCAATTGGGGGGGACTCTCGCTTGCTGATCTTGAAGCTGAAGCCTAATGCTGAGCGCTGAGTGCTGAGTTTAATCGGCATCTATCTGACTCGTTGATAGCATCGGATGTGAAGTACTCATTTTACAAATCTCATCTCGCGCACGCCCCGTCAAGATGCGTGGAATATTTTAACCAAATTCGTTATCTTTCTAACGCGGGATTTTTGATCCTTACGTGTTTTTGTTCTATTTCATGTTGCCTTTCTCTCATCTAGTAATTGGCATTGCTACGGATATTGCGTGTTTTCTCGTGGTGGAGGAGACTCCTGATCGGGCTGATAATTGCGGTGCTCTAACTTTCTCGCAACTCGTCTCAAGCCGTTCCCATTCGATTTGCCCTTTACTAGTTCTTCAGGCTCTAACATTATCTGTTTGCTTTATCTACTTCTTTAGCAACTGTGTCTCGGTATGCGTCCTGTCTCCGCGTCTTTGCGTTCAAAACCTCAATTCAAACGTTGCCCTAACACTCACTTTGGCCTATTCTCTCCTTGTCCTCTCTCTCATCTCTCTCTCTCTTCTCTCGTCTTCCTCTCTCCTCTTCTCTTCTCCTCATCTCTCTCTCCGTCTCGTCGTATCACTCGACTCTGCTCTCTCTCTCTCTCCTCTCCTCTCTACTCCTCTCTCTCC